GATTCACCGTTGTTAATAATTCACAGAAAGTATGAAGGAAAAAGTACAGAAACGAACCTGTTCGTGCTGCACACGCTAGCAGTTCTCGTGAGTAGATCGAGACCGATACTGGGATCAAATTTGCCAGTTGCTGAATCGATCTGATTGATGAAGTCGCCTCTATGCCTCAACAAGTAGTTATGCAAATTTCCAAATCGGCAGTATTCTACGATCACTAACAATTCACCTGGAGAATCAACAGAGATAATTAAATAAACCTGTAATTGCCTTATGCGATAAATTGATAAGCCAATAATATTATAACTGATTTTGATCGTTGTGATCAAAGTGCCGTACCCGAAATGAGATAGTTATAGTCTATATATAACTAAAAAGAAATGTATCCCAAATGATTATTAAGAAAATTTACATGAACATAAGCACTTCGAAAGTGGGTTCTAATTTATATGAGAAATGGTACTTTAGGCACCAGCAGGCTCTAAATTAATTAATAGGTAGAAGACGTACGTTTCAAGATATTTTTTGTGCAAGCACCAAGAAGATTGACAACGTTTAGATGTTTGCCAAGATGTACCAAGATCTTCAGTTCGCTGGTAAGTGCACGAACATACGTGAGATTGGTAGCACGGCGTACCATTTTTACAGCTACAGTAGTAACTGGCTCGTTCTCGCAAATCCCTTGAGCTTCCGCTTTCAAGACTACACCAAACGCGCCGCTTCCCAATTGTCTTCCTGTAAATCGTTACCATGTACAGTTTCGGTAAATTTTCCTTAATCGACGCTCAGATTGTACACAATAATGGACAATTTGGGAAGAGGAGATACGATTATTCGAGCCTTGCGGTTTGTTTTTATAGATGCTGACAGTCGGTAACTATAAAAACAAGCCACAAGATTCGATTAATCGTATCTCCATTTCCCAAATTGTCTATTTTTGTGTACAAGCTGAGGGTCGATTAGGGAGAATGTCAATTAGGGACACTCATAAAATTGAGTGAATAACGCAATAACATTTTTAAAACTGGACTAAGTGACTTGAATTTTTTTTAGGTAATAGAGAGGGACTAATCTACTAAACAACTAAAACGTCTTTTTTAAATTTTGCTATTACTTGGGATGACAAAAAAGATATAAAACTCTCGTTTTGTAACTTTTTTATATCCGAGCGTATAATGAAATTTTTATCGAATTCGGTTGACGTTGTTATTTGTTACGACAAATTTCATGTCACTTAGTCCAGTTTTAAAAAAGTTATTGCGTTATAAAAGGTGTACGCTCAATTTTGTGAGTAAGTGTACATATAGCCAAAAATATTTAGCAAAACTTACGCCGTTCAACTAACATCTTTATTCGCCTTTCAATAGTCGACAAGAGATTCTCCTAAACTTCGAGAACAAATTCGAAAGCTGTTTTCTCAATACGATTAATTCTCATATAGAACGATTGTATAGACTCTTTTGAGTACAACGGTATATTTTAAAACTAGAGATTTGAGGACAAATTTCACTATACTATGTGTTGAAAAAAAAAAGGAAATTTTAGCCTCGAACAAAAATTAATCTATAGTTTACTTAGTACTAAGATACTAAGATATCGGTTTACATTTTCGTCGGTTCCGTCAGCGGGCAACGACGGTGATGTAAACTGTATATAATAGATACCGCGATACATCATCACCGGTACCATTAGATACACATCGTGCCCTGACTGTTTGGGGATCCCAGCGTAACGTATTCAATGTGAAACGCGACAAATAAACGTCTCTGATTGGTGGATAGGACGAACCCAAGAAGGGTATAAAAGAAGCGTTTTTTTCTTACCGGACTCTCGGTAGAGTTTGGTTGTTCGATCGTTTTCGCCCATATACCTTCTCTCAATAAAGGAATAAAATAAAGTCTTTTTAAGAAAAGAATTAGAATCATATTCATTTTCATTCCATAATCCCAACACTATGGAATATATCCAACTATACTATCCTGTGAAACGCTTATTCAACGAGAAATGAGAAGCAAAAATCTCTAATCGTGCAAGCTTACCTAATTTCAATTTTTCTCTTGGAAATTCCCACTTGTTATCATAGGGCAGGAGTTCCGCTTGATCATCCACCGTCAAGTCTGGATTTAGGCACTCCACAGCTCCCTCCTCAAAATGCATCAGACCAGCTTCCATTAATTCCTTTCTCATCATCTGCAACACCATAGAAATTGGTCAGATTGTTGTGGAATTGGTATTGCGCAATACCATAAACTGAAATTACTCTTTCACGGCGAACTTTGATGGTGAAGTAGATCACCAGGACCACAACGACCACTGCTAACATGATGACTAAAATGATCAGACCTACCGGCACTCCCTTCCCTGTAAATCAAAAGAAGATTAAAGTCATATTGTTACTATTGGCCCTACACTTTTCAATTTAATGAATTACCTTTTACCACGACCCGTTGTTGCGCTTCTACTTTTGCAATGCGATTCTGTGCGCGACACATGTACTCGCCGCTGTCGATTTCTATCGGATATTGTATTTCAAATTGTTGGTACGTGTTGAAAAACTTGTACCGTTCGTTATTTTCTACCAATTGTGTACCGTCCTATTAAAAGTAAGTTGATGTATAATTAGCATAAAAATAAATTTTCCGATATAGTAGAAAAGCGAAATATTAAATACAGACGCAGATAGTAAAATATTGAATAAAAAATAAATCATAAAATTCTGATCTGATTTAGAAATTAATTAACTGCTAATCTCCTACCTTAAACCAAGTGATGTTCGGATTAGGCATACCGTCCGCGAAGCATTTAAGACATACTTTCTTGTTACCTGGTGTGTTCAAATCAATGACTATGGTGTCTTTCTTGAAATTGGTATTACTGATAACGGGCGGTCGTGCGGCTAGAACGAAAATAAGATTATTCGACAATTCAATGTCGAACCTCTGTTTAATTATTTACATTTATAATTACCCGTCACTGCCAAATGATATTCATGAGACTGAACTAAATTCCCCGTGGACTTCCCCATACAAATGTATTCCTGGGAGTCCTCCATTTCTACGTTCTGTATTCTTAAAATAGATCTATACGTGAATTGCGTTTTCTCACGTTGGATAGAGATTCTGTCTAAAATATTAAACAAATTGTTTTTGGTTCGTTCAATATCTCATCGAACTTTACTAACTTCTAAAATCGATCGTAGAAAAGTAAATTTCGTAACACGCTGTTAGTACGAATATCGGAAATAGAATTACCAGATTCTACAATTGGACCAGTTTCGCTGCTCCAATAAATGCTGTCCGTATAATTGTAAATCGAAGCGGCGCAAATTAGTTCCAAATCGTCGCCCTCGACCACCGGGTCCATTGGAGGAACAATACCGAATTCTCCGGCTCCATCTAAAATATTTTCAAACATAATTTATTATACGGAAGTAAAGTGATCGTAGTAAAATGTCAACGAGGTAAGAACTGCGTTAACTATCCGATATCATAGTTGACGAGCATTCAACGAGACAAATGATAATAAACAGTGTTTAAGCAAAAACTTATTACGTCCTAATGGAGTATTAATATACTTGTATATTAATAACAAGTATTAATATACTTGTATNGAACAATACCGAATTCTCCGGCTCCATCTAAAATATTTTCAAACATAATTTATTATACGGAAGTAAAGTGATCGTAGTAAAATGTCAACGAGGTAAGAACTGCGTTAACTATCCGATATCATAGTTGACGAGCATTCAACGAGACAAATGATAATAAACAGTGTTTAAGCAAAAACTTATTACGTCCTAATGGAGTATTAATATACTTGTATATTAATAACAAGTATTAATATACTTGTATATTAATAACAAGTATTAATATACTTGTATATTAATAACAAGTATTAATATATTTGTATATTAATAACACAAGTATTAATATACTTGTATATTAATAACACAAGTATTAATATACTTGTATATTAATAACACAAGTATTAATATACTTGTATATTAATAACACAAGTATTAATATACTTGTATATTAATAACACAAGTATTAATATACTTGTATATTAATAACACAAGTATTAATATACTTGTATATTAATAACACAAGTATTAATATACTTGTATATTAATAACACAAGTATTAATATACTTGTATATTAATAACACAAGTATTAATATACTTGTATATTAATAACACAAGTATTAATATACTTGTATATTAATAACACAAGTATTAATATACTTGTATATTAATAACACAAGTATTAATATACTTGTATATTAATAACACAAGTATTAATATACTTGTATATTAATAACACAAGTATTAATATACTTGTATATTAATAACACAAGTATTAATATACTTGTATATTAATAACACAAGTATTAATATACTTGTATATTAATAACACAAGTATTAATATACTTGTATATTAATAACACAAGTATTAATATACTTGTATATTAATAACACAAGTATTAATATACTTGTATATTAATAACACAAGTATTAATATACTTGTATATTAATAACACAAGTATTAATATACTTGTATATTAATAACACAAGTATTAATATACTTGTATATTAATAACACAAGTATTAATATACTTGTATATTAATAACACAAGTATTAATATACTTGTATATTAATAACACAAGTATTAATATACTTGTATATTAATAACACAAGTATTAATATACTTGTATATTAATAACACAAGTATTAATATACTTGTATATTAATAACACAAGTATTAATATACTTGTATATTAATAACACAAGTATTAATATACTTGTATATTAATAACACAAGTATTAATATACTTGTATATTAATAACACAAGTATTAATATACTTGTATATTAATAACACAAGTATTAATATACTTGTATATTAATAACACAAGTATTAATATACTTGTATATTAATAACACAAGTATTAATATACTTGTATATTAATAACAAGTATTAATATACTTGTATAACATTGTTGCATAAAATCTGCCGTCTAATTACGATGTAAAAGCATCCTGGTTTGCTAAGTGTGAAAAGTGAATCTGGCCCTGTTCTTACCGGAAACCAACACATTCTCGGAGACGTTTCCGCAGCCAACAATGTTGCACGCGCTGCAGATTAGTTCGCCGGACATTTCAATGGTCGTCGACACTGTAGAGACCAGGGAAGTTACGGTTCCGCTTTCCGTGGTGTGCTGCGTGAATATCGCTTGATTTAATTAATCGATCGCGATCGATGGTACGTGATTACACGGACATAAATTGACACTAAACCACCGAGCTGGTCGGAACGACCAAAAAACGTCACATTTTTCATTTCAAAGCTGTTGAAATTATGAAGACTCGTTCACAGACAATGACCGAATCAATATCTTAAATACATTCAGTTTTTTCACGATAACGAAGCAACACGTGCCAGTCACATTCCGTGCTCCGTAGGTTTGGTGTCAAAAGTTAAGACATTGCGTACCGTTAAGTACTCATGGACACCATTCTCGCAGACAGGGAATTTGGGACAGTTGCGGTAACTCCAGGTAATATTCGGCTTCGGGAACGCTGCCACGTGACATTCTACGTTTGCCACCTGATTAGGTAAGTAGTACGAGTTCAGATTCCTTATGTACAATACTGGCTCAGCTAAAAGACCCATTTCGGTTAGACGATTATCGAATCGATACAGATGACTCCGATTAATATCCTTCATATTTCGTTTAGAAACAATGAAAATAGCATACCAATTACGTCCAACGTAAAGTTCAATGTATCCATTTTATACTGATTGCTAGCCTGGATGGAATATACTCCCATGTCATGGAATTCCAAACGGTTTATTCGCAATATCGGCTTGCAACATGTGACATCGATCGAAAATTTAGATTCCTCGGACGTCGACGAACTCGTGATTTCGTCGCCGTTTGTATTCAACCTACGAAAAAGGAAACTTTGGATATCAGAATATTGGGAGAGTGTTGGTAGACTGCAGACCTTTGTGCAAAGTGTACATTTTCGATATCGATTGGGAAAAAAAAACGGGAACTGCACAGAGATAACGTAATCGAGAAGTTCTTAAAGTTTTCTGCTTCGTCTACTCGTTTTCATCGCAAACGTATAAAATTCGCAGACTATCTAGAAGAAACAACTATGGAAAGTTGATGTGTTTAAATGGGTGGTGTTATTAAATGTCTTTGTTATATATACCGTAATTGACTCTTATTACTCCCACAGAATGCTCTATAACATGATATTATTTAAACAGTTTCGACGTACCATTTTAATTTAGCCGGGGGATACGCGTCCACATACACAACCCACTTCACTTGATCACCCATATGATGTTGATAATGTCTGTTAGGATCTTGAGTCGTCAGGCTGATGTATGGCTCGATCGACTCTAAACATTCGATAAGCAAAAATTATAGAAAAATCATGTGCGATAAATATTTATCGATAATTCCAACTTGTAAATTGCAGAAGGAACAAAATGAGAAGGAACTATTCGATCTTAACTCGAAGTTACAGCAGATTTCGTGTTTGGGCCACAAGTTAAAATATAAATAATGGTGAGAACGGTTCTTGGAGTTGAGAAAGAAAACATTCGGATTCGACGCTTATTTCATTAACATCGAAAACAATGCTCGAAGTTCGCTTAATAATTCAGCTGTCAAACTACAAGACTCTGCAACATGTTACCCGACGATCTCTATTCTAAAAAAATCGCACAAAATGTTTAGCATAGCAACATTACTTTTTTAACCAATCCGTATACCGCGAATCCTATATTTGATTTTTAAACATGTATTACAACAAGGATCATCATGTCTCGGACGAAATGTTATCGTCGTACTCACCGAGCACCTTGATATACGTTTGCGATTTCTTCTCGGTATAAAAGCTCTTGATTATGCACTGGTAGATACCTTCGTCCTCGTAGGTCACGTTTTTTATGGTTAATTCGGTCGTGATTTTACCGTTACTTCCGGTGTAGTCACGGGTACTGATTCTGTTGCTCTGAAACAACAGAGATTGCAGTCGGGTTTCTACTCGATCCTACTCGAACAGGTGGTTCACGCGAATGAAACTTGTATTTCGAGATCGATACCTGTTGCGGTGTAGACCAATTGAATGTATAGTCAACGACATCCTTTGGAATATTGGTGGTGCAATTCACGTATAGAGTTTCGCCCTTTGTTACGTGCCGCAAAGTATCATTGATAATTGTTGGTTCAGTCAGATTGTATTTCTCTGAATGAAAAGATCGCGAGTTATTAAAAGTCTGTTTTACTTCGTAAAAATACAAATATTTTCCAAGTCTATCGTGAAAGAAATGTACGTCTTTTTTCAATGATTTCTGTTAATAAATCAGTTCTTACTACTATCATATATATATATGATAGTTATTTTATTAATGAAGAAAGAAATTAAAATAGAAAGAACTGATTTATATATATATATAAATCATATAACATAATAATCATATAATCATATAACTGATATAGATATA